AGCCACTTCTTCTAGCCCCTCAGGAGGAACCCCAAGGCGTTCCCAGGCTGAACGAGAAACATAGTCTCTCCACCGGTCCTGGGTCTCCCCCGGGTGGGACGTGCCCGGAACACCTCACCAGGGAGACGTCCAGGAGGCATCCTAACCAGATGCCCGAGCCACCTCAACTGGCTCCTCTTGACTTGGAGGAGCAGCGGCTCTACTCCGAGTCCCTCCCGGATGACCGAGCTTCTCACCCTATCTCTAAGGGAGAGCCCAGCCACCCTACGGAGGAAACCCATTTCGGTCGCTTGGATCCACAATCTCGTTCTTTTGGTCATGACCCAGAGTTCATGGCCATAGATGAGGGTAGGAACGTAGATCGACCGGTAAATCGAGAGCTTTGCTTTTTGGCTCAGCTCTCTCTTCACCACAACGGACCGGTACAGCGCCTGCTTCACGGCAGACGCTGCGCCAATCCGCCTGTCGATCTTCCGCTCCCTTCGTCCCTCATTTGTGAACAAGATCCCAAGATACTTAAACTCCTCCACTTGGGGCAGGACACCCCCCCCGACCCGAAGAAGGCACTCTACCCTTTTCTGGCTCAAGACCATGGCCTCAGATTTGGAGGCACTGGTTCCCATCCCGGCCGCTTCAGACTCGGCTGCGAACCGATCCAGCGAGAGCTGCTGATCATGACCTGATGAAGCCAATAGGACCACATCATCTGCAAAAAGCAGAGACGCAATCCTAAGGCCACCAAAACGGATCCCCTCAACACCTTGGCTGCGCCTAGAAATTCTGTCCATGAAGGTAATGAACAGAATCGGTGACAAAGGAGCCGCATGCCGCTGCGCCCGCCGGTACCCATCAGCTGATTCCGGAGTCCCACAGGCCAAAAAGGTCTGATAGGCCTTCTTCTTCAACCTGACAGCATCCCTCACCGGAGGTGTTCACCAACGGGTTTGAGGGTTGCCACCACGACAGGCACCGACAACCTTGCGGCAGCAGCTCAGATAAGCCGCCTCGACAATGGAGGAACGGAACATGGTCCACTCGGACTCAATGTCCCCCACCTCCCCCGCGATGTGTTCGAAGTTCTGCCAGAGATGAGAGTTAAAGCTCCGCCTAACAGGGGACTCCGCCAGACGTTCCCAGCAGACCCTCACAACACGTTTGGGCCTGCCAGGTCTGACCGGCATCCTCCCCCACCACCGGAGCCAACTCACCACCAGGTAGTGGTCAGTGGAAAGCTCCTCACCTCTCTTCACGCGAGTGTCCAAGACATATGGCCGCAAGTCAGATGAAACGATGACAAAGACGATCATCGAACTGCGGCCTAGGGTGTCCTGGTGCCAAGGGCACATATGGACACCCTTATGCTTGAACATGGTGTTCGTTATGGACAATCCATGATGAGCACAGAAGTCCAACAACAGAGGACCACTCGAGTTCAGATCGGGGCGGCCATTCCTCCCAATCACACCCCTCCAGGTCTCACTATCATTGCCCACGTGAGCGTTGAAGTCTCCCAGCAGAACAAGAGAGTCCCCAGGAGGGGCACCCTCCAGTACCCCCTCTAAGGACTCCAAGAAGGGTGGATAATCTGAACTGCTGTTCGGTCCGTAAGCACAGACAACAGTCAGAACCCGTCCCCCCACCCGTAGGCGGAGGGAGGCTACCCTCTCGTTCACTGCGGTGAACCCCAACGTACAGGCGCTGAGATGGGCAATTCCAGAGTGGAAGTATGTCCAGCCCCTCTCAAGGAGACTGGTTCCAGAACCATGCGTCGAGGTGAGACCGACTATTTCTAGCCGGAACCTCTCATCCTCACACACTAGCTTTGGTTCCTTCCCCACCATCGAGGTGACATTCCACGTCCCAAGAGCCAGCTTCTGCAGCCAAGGATCGGACCGCCAGGGTCCCCTCCAACGGCCGCCACCCAACACACATTGCACCCGACCCCTATTGGCCCCTCTCACGGGTGGTGGGCCCATGTAAGGGGGGACCCATGTTTCCTCTTCGGGCTGAGCCCGCCCGGGCCCCATGGGTAAAAGCCCGGCCACCAGGCGCTCGCCATCATGCCCCCCCTCCAGGCCTGGCTCCAGAGTGGGGCCCCGGTGACCCGCGTCCGGGCAAGGGAACACTGAATCCTTTGATTAAATTTAG